TGTGACTAACAGAACTATCATTGGTACTTCTTAGATTTAACTTTCATGTACGCGTTTCATTTGATATATGTACCATTAAAACACGTAAGTATTGTAGTGAACGAGAACATATGTGGGAATAATCGAATGTATTCGAATACAAAATTACAGAACACCTTAGGAAAATCTGAGAATCATATAGTAAATAGTTCATTTGTAAAATATCAGTCAATAGTTTAAGACTTCATTGTTCTTTCCTTCCTACACCCCTCATTCTCTGTTCTCGTTCTCTTTTCTTCGATCTTTTTAATCTCCTGCTGTCAGGCATTTCACTTTCGATTGATGATGCATACTACTTATATCGGTCTACATCAGTAGAGCAGCACACACTGCAAGTATAACACGTGCATTAAGACACATGCAACTTAAATAGCTACATGAATATACACATGGGCCTCTGATAAACTAAATCTACCAAGTATTTTCCTGTGATTTTACCTCTCATAAATGAAACCAAAGAATCAACTTAGCTCAAGATCAGAGATAATGACCAACATGTACGTTAGTATAAAGTATGCGTACTTAACTATTATAAACCACTCTTTAGAAATAATCTTGAAACTTCCTAAATTATGAAAAGTTGATACTTTTGCACTTCAAAAGCAGTAATATTTCCACACAAAAAAATACAGATCTACAGCCATTCAATTATAAAAGTGTGAACCAGAGTGCAGATAACTAAATGATCAACAGACTGATATTTCATTAAGCTAAGTTGGGATCGCTCAGACGAACGATTTGACTATTATTGTTTAGTCGTCAATAGGTTGTTTGGTTTATTTTCCTTGTATAAACTGTTCCTATATCTTTTTACTTAACAGTACGCTGAACGATTTAAATATGTCAAAATAAGTAGTTGAATTTATGAGTAGATCTAAGCTAGACAAACATCAAAAACGTAGAAGTACTGAACGACTGTTTCATCATCAGTATGAGACTCCTCAGAAATGCACATTCACGATCCTGTATCCAGAACATGAACCCAGGACCTTAGATCTCACGCGCCAACAATTAATTGTTTGAGCACTAAAGCAGCACCCAACGGTGTTAATGTTTGACTTTAGCAGGTCAATGATCATACGCAACCATTCATACATATATGAACAGCATTGTTTTATAACCCACATGTTAAGCTTTATTCTAGTGTACATTATTATATTTATGCATATATGAAACCATATACGAAACTAATTAAAGTAGTTTGCAAAGTTAATATACCAATCCATTTTTTTGTTTCAGTTGTTTGAATCTTCTGATTGATATTTAAAACTGTAATTGATCAGTCTCTTATTGGTATATATATGTATCCTGTGGGGATTGTTATGATATTGCTTGACATCACAAGTATTATAGGCAGAAATGGATAGTGGCTGACAATGGAATCCAGGTACTGGGTTCGAGTCCCAGAGTAAATATCAATTCTGGAATATGTATACATCTAGCTGACTTTCCCTAAGTTGGATGAAACACTTTTCCTAGATTTCACTGCTAGCCACAATCTATATCTGCTTATAATCATAATAATAATAACAATGAACTAAATCACATAACTAAACATGATAAGTGTAAACTATGAATATAAGAATTTATTATTCCTATTACTTATTTACTACATAAATTTACTATAATATCTGACACTACTGTGGCTTATGATTAGTTATGTAGTCCTTTGAGATTACCATTATAGTAATCACTGACTTATAAATTATTGTAAATTATTTATGTATATTTTATATTTCTATACAAATACTACTGTTAATTAAAGTAGAATATTACTATAGTACTTTCAGTAGTTGAGATTATGAGTTAATTGACGCTAGATCATCATGAAAAACTTGAAAGCACTGAACAGCCGTTTCATCCTAGTATGGAACTCCTCATTAGTGCGCATCCACAATCCCGCCCTAATGAGATACGAATCCAGGACCTGATGTATATATAACTGGTTCAAATATGTGTATTTAGATTATAAGTAATTTTAATATAAATTATTCTTTAATTTGTCTTTGTAACTTAATTGTTTAACTAATTTATTCATTTTTGGCAAATAGTCAATACATTTTTGATACTTTTATTTGAATAATAATACAATAAAGTATAATTATTAATCCATTAACGATCAAAACTTGAATCTTCAGGGGTTTAGCCGAAGGTTCTTAGTCAATTTTTGATGTTAAATGAGTAATTTAATCGATTACACAAGTTGATCTGTCATATTGAGACACATTATTTGTAGATTTAAAGAAAATAGTAAATAGAAATTATGCAGTGTTATTCATTAAGAAGCAAGTGTTAACATGGAATCCTGAAGGGGAGCGAAAAAGAAGACTAAACAACACTCTGACTCAAGAATTGGAAGCAGACATGAAAAGAGTGGCTAGCGACTGGAAAATGTTCATTTATTTGAACACATAAACATTGTCACAAGGGGGCACCAGTTAGATATGCGCTGCATAAATCATTCGATTTGTGTGAAGGGTGGAATACTGCTCGGGTGCCGAAACCAAGGCAGATGGTTTCTTAGGGGACCACACTCAGATCCTTCGATCTAAAGGTCTAGTCCAAAAGGCAGTGAAGCAACTTTAGAAGATGCAGTCCCATGGTAGCCGGTGATCAATAATCTTTTCATACGCCATTTGTTCTCTCAGGATCCTGGAGCCCATGTGCACCTTTTGTTTGTGATGAGGGTTTTCCAACTCCCCTAGGTAGACCCTCATAATCCACCAACCCGGTCCAAGCTCCGGACGTTCGCTTTTTGTCCTCTCAATTTCATAAACAACAGTAGTGAGGCGAAAAGGCAGTGATCATGACTTCCCTGGCAGTGGTTGTATGCACGTGACCATGTGCGAGCATTTCGCAAGGGAAAGCTGACTTTCCCCACTCTCGTCCTTACGAGGGCATTCAGGGGCTACTGTAAACAACTGAAAAGGATTGTTGAGGACAGAGTTCGCCGAAGAATGCTGGTGACTGGCCTATGCTCCTACATGAGGTATAACAGGCGTGAGTAAAATTACGTAAGTTGTCAGAATAATTATAAAATATAAAAAATATGTGACTGAAATTTTTGCTGAATTCAGGCTATTAACTGGAATCTTTGGATCCCAATGCTTAGATTAATAAACCACTTGAATTTGGGACTTCATTGTTATTGCATGAATAGAACGTCATCAAATTTAACAATTAAATAAATTTGAAGTAGATTGATACTTATGGACAAATTAGTAAATATAATAGACCATAAATTGAAGATAAAAAAAATGTTTTTCTACTCGATTTTTCAAAGAAATAAATAACAAATAGAAAGGGGTCTTATGGAGAGTTAGTAATTTATTAGTTGAATTCATGAGTTAATTAAATCTAGATCATCATAAAAAACCTGGAATCATTGAACAATCGTTTCCTCCTGGTATGGAACTCCACAGCAGTGCACATCCATAATTCAGTACACGGGATTCGAACCCAGGACCTATCGGTCTTACCGCGAACACTTAATCTCTTGATCACTGATCCGGCATCCAATAGTGTTAATGTCTAGTCTCAATCAATTCACGAAATCGCGCCATCGTCTACCATTTTCTTTATTGAGTTACAATCTCTCAACAGACTAGGTTGAACTCCATTGGTCGCTGCTTCTGACTAGAACTCCAGGAAATACCTCTTGAAGCCAGTCACTAGTGAATATATGCTAATTAGTATGAAAAGGGGGTTTTGTTGAGATTGGAGTAATTTCAATAGTTAAAATCATAAATCAATTGAAACTAGTCCATCATAGAAAACCTAAAAGCACCGAACATCCGTTTCATCCTTATACAAAACTCCTCAACAGTTCACATCCACAATCCTGCATCACAAGACTATACTTCAAAAAACCTATCAGTCTCACGTGCAAAATCACTTAACCCTATAAATCACTGATCCATCCACCATCCCGACCGTTGTTGCTACCTTGAAGTGGTGGTCGGGATTGCTTATCGTGATGAAGCAACCGAGATATACTGGCTGGAACAACCATTCCTCAAGGTCCTATTATGTCAGAAAGATCGGTTGAAGAGCGGTAAGACTACAAGCATCAAACCCAAGGTCCAAAGGCGAAGTCGTACTGCTGACTGTACAGAGGTGTGACAGATCTTTCCTTCAGACAACCAGCATGACAGCGATGCTGCTTTCCTACAGAGAGGGGTGTGGTTAGAAAAGTTCGACCCTAAAAATACACACTTTGCTTTATCCCACGGATATCCATTTCCGGTGGTAAAATCTCAACAAGTACGGAGCTAACACAAAAAGTATTTGTTAGGATGTGCAGAAAAATATACCAAGAGTTATCATGTTAAGTCTAATTTTGTCCTTGGACGCTAAATGTACATTTCCTATTGGTCGATATCTGTTCACTTGTTAAATATTGTACAAAATGTTGATTCCTATTTTTATGGTACGATGTGGTATGTTTGGTTAGTATATAAATAGAGCATGTCTGAAATACAATGATTCATAACTCAGAGGCTGAGATTTGTGTTCTGGACTCAACTGGCTGGGATAGACAGGGAAACAGGGCCAATCAGGACACTAGGTCGTTCGTACGTGTTTACGTGTCACAGAGGCGGTCGATATAAACGCTGCTTACATAACCTGCAGTCACTCACCCATTACAATAGTATTCACGAAAAGTTCGTGTATGACCGACCTCAAGCAGTTGTCCCTTGGGCACTGCAGTCACGCTCTCAGCTCATTAAGACCACCTCTAATCCAATTTCCTTTTCAGGTACCTCCAGAACAATCCTCCCATGGTGTGGGTAACCAGGAAGTGATAACCGCTCTCATACCTCTAACAGCACTCAACCATCCAACATCTAACAGTATTCATGTCTAACTTCAATTCATCAACCAATGAAAACATCTAACAATACACTCAATTGAATTCCATAATAATCAACTACTATTTTCAATAAATACATTATACTTACTTGATATATAACTGTATTCACTTTACTATTTTCCATTACTTCTATTTCATAGATTGTTTGTGAAAACATTGGTTCTATATCATTAATATTCAATACTTCTATAATAATTTCTAAACGATCTTCTATAGTTGATTTAAATGTATAATTTAATCCTTGAATATTTGGTGATGAACAAATTAAATAAAATTTATATTCTTTTATTAATTCATAATCTAAATCATGTTTTATTATAAGTAATAAACGTGAATCATGATCAATCATTAAATGAAATGTATTAAAAATCAATAATCGATCAATTGGTAATAATGGATCAATACGATATACTATTTCTGAATAAATTGGATTAATATCTTTATCGATTGCTTTAGGTAATTCAATGGATTTTCCAATCCCATAAATCACTTCTTTTAATTGAATTTTATAGGGTCTTATTAAATTTAATGGAAATATTGGTGAATTATCATCGATATCAATAATGATTAATTTAATATTAATAATACTAATTATATGATTATTATTATTATTATTATAGCACCATATATTTACATTAATCATTAATTCAGCATAATATTTGTTGCCATGGCAATAATATGGACATAATGTTTCTAAATCAATGAAATTTTTTGTTACTAAGACACTTGTTGTTTCATTTATTGAAATATAATCAGATGATTTTTGTAATTTATAAAATATATTGATTTTATTTGATGTATTATATAAAATAGGAAATAATTTTGATGATTTATTGATTTTAATTGTTTTTAATAAATCAATATTAATTTGTCCAATAAAATAATTAATTGGTTGATTTTCTGTAATAGTATAAGTTAAATTATAATAAGGAATAGTGAATAGATTAGAATTTATATTATTGAAATTAATAATTGAATCATGAATTGATTGAATAGTTGGATTATGATTATTATGTAATAAATGATTAGCAATAATAAATGAAATAAATTGAATATAAATAAAATAATGATAATAGAATTGTAAATGATTTAAAAGAATAATAATAAACCAGATTATATTTGATAGAATCCATTCAATTGTAAAATATTCTAAATGCATTCTAAATGAAGGAATGAATAAAAGAAAAGAAGTAAATGAGACTTTCATTATGAATTAATACAGTGACATAGAATACGTATTGACTTATAGTAAAATGTAGATCATATTGTTTTGACTTACTTACTTACGCTTGTTACTACTACTCGTGAAGAAGCATAGGTCACCTACCAACAGTTTCCATCTAACTCTGTCCTCGAAAATTCTCTTCACTTGTTATTCATCCTTTTCATCATAAACGCTTCTATTTTCTAATGTAATGTGTTCTTTAAAATTCCTCTTTCCCAATTCCTCTCACGATTCCAAGTTAGAGATTGCCTCATGATACAGTTTGATGACTTCGTCAATGTATGTCTTATCCATTTCCATCGTCTTTTCCTAATTTCCTCCTCAGATGACAACTGGTTTGTCCCCTCTCACAGTAGACTGTTGCTGATTGTATTTGGCCAATGGATGTTGAGTATCTTGTGTAAACAACTATTTCTAAATACTTGTACCTTGTTGATGTGACTATTAGTTTGAGTGAATTAATAATGCGTTCATTATGTCCTCGCCTTTATGCCCGCATCCGATCCTCCTTGTTCATCGATGATAATTCCCAGGTACATGAAGGATTTTAACTCTTTCACGTTTTGAGTTCAATCCCTCACATATGAGACTATAAATATACAGTGTTGAAGATTCTCATACTAGAACAAAATGATTATCTAATGCTTTCATGTTTCCAATCATTGTCTAAGATAGATGAACTGATGAATTAAGCTATTCAAATTACTACATTCTACACAAAGTCATATTTTAATAATAATAATAATAATAATAATAATAATAATAATAATATGTATAAACTGTGTAATATTGTAAAATTCTCTATGACTTTTCGCTAAGGTAATACTTTTAAGTTTACCTAGAATGTCTCTTCATCTTGATCAATGGAATTCAACTAGCAATAAAAAATAAATAGGCATATTTTATGATTATTTCATATTAGAATTCATTTTCTATTGACTAGCTACAATATAACCTGACATTTCTTTTTATTCTATGAAAGAAACTAGTAAAGTTTGTTATCAGAAGGGGTTTTTGTGGGATATTATAGTCATTACAATAGTTGAGATCATGTGTCAATTGAAGCTAGACCACCATCATGGAAAACCTGAAAGCACTGAACGATCGTTTCGTCCTGTTGTAGGACTCTTCTGCAGTGCACATCCACGATCCCGCCTCGCAATATTAGAACCCAGGACCTATCAGTTTTAAATAATGTTCTATTACGCAATGATATCTACATTTTCCTAATTTGTTTCTTTTTTTCATTTTATGACTTAGAATATGTTTTTCATACTCAACGTTACTAAATTATAAGAGGGGATCTAATTGATTTAAAGGTTGTTTGTAATGCTTTACTTTATAAAGATATCTATAAATGACCTATCGAAGAGATTATCATAATATTTAATCATTAATGATTGGGAGTCATGAATAAGTTTATCAGGTTATTACATGGCATTGTAAAAGTTAATAGTAAATCTAGCCAATATATAGTGGTATCTGTTTCATAACAAACAGTCATTCCAAATGGTCTTAACCATTGAATGTCAACCGTTGAATTATTTCTTCTAAATTTATGACATTATATTCAACTTAATAACCACGTTTCTTTATTTGTATAAATCTTAATTATAGTGCATTTCACTTTATTTAGCTTTCATTGGGATTCATCTATTTAAAGACAAAGCTTTTCAAATTTATAGGCAGTTAGACATTAATTCTTTTAGCCGACTACAGAATCATTATATAACATAGCTAGTGGTTTGTACTCATTCCATATCAAGTATTCTTACATCTTGTGTCAACGAGCTCAAAGGCGTTATTACTTACTTACTTACGCCTATTACTCCTCGTGGAGGAGAATAGGCCACCCACCAACACACTCCATCTAACTCCGCCTGTAGCTCTTCCACAGTTACTGCCCGGATAAAAAAGGAGGGTTGGGCATAGTTCTAGCGACTCCATTCCGTAGAAAACTAACTCGCTAAAAACGCTAACCAGAAAAAATAATTAAAACCATTTAAACCCTGCCTTGGGAGTTAGAAGGTCTTCATTTAGAAGAGCTATGACACCTCATGGTAAAAGCCGAGCTCCTTCGAAAGTCACAAGGCCGATGCCCCATCTAACAACCAGAGCAACAATTTTTATAGGTACATGAAAAGATGTTATTACCTAACTATAATGCCTGATAAAGTTACTGTGCCTTTTATTTACCTACCTACCGTTCAATATTAGCATGTCTGAAATATACGTATGTAGTGAATAAACATTCAGGTGGGGTAAACCAATTTATTTTTAATAAAAAATACATAATGTTTTCGTAAAATATGAAAATCATGCAGTAAATACATCATTTGTCTCTTACAAATTTCATCGTTTCTTCATTCCTATTTTTATTACACTTAATCTCTGTTTACATTAATATTGCCTTGAATTAAATTTATTCAATCATATCTTAGTGTTACATACTACTTATATTTGTCAACATAAGTAGCATACGCCACACGTATACTATGTAAAATTCTGATTTGATTTACATTATTTACATTTTATCAATTTCATTCATTACCCAAATATATATAAACTAAACAGAATACACATTCCATCAGCATCATTATCATTTAGTCACTCATGATGTCAACTACAAACAGTAAGAAATCGCAAACAAATTATCACTTGTTTTTGCGGGGGGTGGGTAAAATTGACAATCATCTAATAAAAGTATATCTCGATTATCATCTAATAGGTTCTAGCTTTAATTATTCCACTGATAACTTTTCTAAAGTTGGATGAAGAATGTTGATGGTTGACCTATGCTCCTCTACAGGTGTTAACAGACGTAACTAAGTAACTAATGTGAATTAAAACAAACACAATGAATTCAATCATTTCCAATAAGAAATAATGATTTCAACCAAAAACAAAATGCTTCATTCCTATTGATTCATTTTTATGAAATAACATTGTAAATCAAAAGAAAAACAGAAAAAAAGGAACGTGGAAAGAGAATAAGGAGACGAATTTCAAAAAAAAGGAAAAAAAGAAAAAAGAAGAACCGAAAGAAAGAAAAGAAAAAAGAAAAAATCAACTTACTATGTTTTAGGAAATAAGTTTTCCTGGTATTAATTTATTATCTGACCATTGAAAATATAGAATATACATGGTAACATTGTTATAGTTAGTTAAATATTACATAACTGTTGCTATGCACAATATTGTACCATTGTATTTTCTTCTTTTGTTGTTGTTTTTAATGCTAAATGATCATATGTATCGATTAAATGTTGTCTAATAATAATAATTGATTTAAATGTTTGAATATTATGTAATCAACTAATGATTGCAATCGTTTTTTATATGACTAAAACCCCTTTGACTAATTCTATTAAATAATTCAATAATGATAATTGCATAAGAAATGTTCAAATGATGATTATATAAGAATAGAGTACTTATTATATTATTGTCTTGTACGTTGGGCAACAACAACAACAAAAACTATACTTCAAATTGATTGGATGAAATTTCGTTATCTTAGGAAATAGTTTTCGATTGGTTAAAAGCTATAAAGCCAATAATTTTGTTATCAGAATGGGTTTTGTGGAGATTTTAGAAAATTCACTGGTTGAAATTATGAGTCAATTGAAATTACACAACCATGGAAAACCTGGAAGCACTGGATGGCCGTCTCGTCCTAATATGGGATTCCTTAGCAGTAAGCATCGACGATCCCGCCCCCCCCGCGAGACTCGAACACAGGACCTATCAGTCTCGCGCCATGTGCTTAAACAACTAGACCACTGAGCCGGCATCCAATGGTGTTGACTCATGATTTCAACCAGTGAAATAATTTTGTTAGTGTAAAAAATATATGATGTATTCATTTAAGAACCAAGGGATTTATAGAGATTGTTTATCAGTATAGGGTTTGAGAAATCATAAAGGTTTTGATTGAGATCATGAATTGATTGATGTTAGGCCACCATTGAAGCCATGACTAATGGACAGGTATCTATCTCAGTACACTAGAAGATGGTTGCGTAATTACGTGGATTGATTGAGGTTAGACAGTAACATTGTTGGATGCCGACTCAGTGGTCTAGAAGTTAAGCATTCGCGTGCGAGACTGATAGTTTCTGGGTTCGAATCCCGTGAATGGAATGGTGGATGAGCACTGTCAAGGAGAGTTTTTAATTGACTGTTAAATTTTTCACAAAATGAAATTAGCTGACTCTGAAAGTTCAGGACTCAATTTCTAATATGATCATGAATAAACATTAATGAGGAGTTATAAACTAGTGTGATAACTGGCTGCCTACAGTACATAGGGTTTCATAACTAAATGAAACCTTATTAAATGATCATTATTTATAACAATAAATACGTATTAACAAGATGCTTACATGTTGCATAAAATTGATCCTAGCCAATGGATAATACAATACGTACTGCTAATCAGAGCTTTACATAAGAGACATATAGACAAATGATAATTTACATAGACTATAAATCAAAAGATAACGATTAGACATTGAATGGAACTGTATTACTACATTAAATGCAAATGAATGATATTCCAGTTACCTTGATATAACATGATATAACATGTTTTCCCTAGGTATTCCCAATTTAAAGCAAATCGAGAAGTGAAATGAGTAATTGTTAGTACACATTAAACTGTCAACTTTAGCGTTGTCCATGAAGTAAAATTACCTAACTTCAAAATGTGTCCTCTTTAAATCCTATACTCGGTTTATTTAGAAAATGTCATAACATCTAAACAGAATGTACCCACTGATTGTCTTGATTCTTATGATGAAAAGTTGAGACTATAATTTATGTATGACTTTTAAGCGATTCTAAAGTGACTTTGAGAATATTCATCTACTGACTATGGATAAATAAGGACTTTAAACCTGTGTGAAGTATAAGTATTGGTGATTAATGATAGGGATTAGATTTAAAGTTTTCATCACGAACTGATCTCAGATAAAATGTCAAGATGCTATTTAAACAAATGGATAAAGAATTTCATGCCGAAATCCAAGATCTTTTATCTTTTATCTGATTGGTTCGTTCACAGACTATAGTCTCGCCGCTTTTCCTTTGTATATTCTTTTTTTATTGAACCTTTACTAACATCTAATGGCGTTTTTTAGAACTTTGAAACTAATATCATGGCTGTTATTTTGTCATTAAAATAGGTATCATTTCAGGTACTGCTTCCAATGTAATTAACAGTTTGAATGATTTTCTTTTTCTTTGTCTATATAGAAATGATAACAATGCTTTATCAATGCGTAATATACTGTTTGAATGATGGATTCATTTTTAATTGGTGAACTGATATATTCTAGTACAGAATAAACTACAGGTAACTTCTATGATCTATTAATAGACTAAAGATACTAGGCTACTCAAAATGGTTGAATGTCATTGGTTTAGTACAGTACTAAGATTGTATAAGTCACATTTAGATTGACGAATCAATCATGTGATAATTAATCACGTTGAAAGTCACAACAACAGTTATCGGAAACATGGAAATTTAAAGAAACTGTTTTTTGTGCTATCGGACCCTTCTGTCATGTTATACCATAACGTCTCCAGGACTCAAACTCGGAATGTTCGGATCATATGGGAAATGCTTTATAAATTAAGAAAATAAAATAAAACGGGTTTCTACACAAAGATATACATTCTCAAATTTGTTTAATAGATAAAACTACTAATATTATATTCAAGAAACTGATAGGTCTTGTGTTCGAATCTCGTGGGTGGCGATATCGTGGATGAGCACTGACGAGGAGCCCCGCAACAGGACGAAACGGCTGTCTAGTAATTCCAGGTTTTCTATTGTGGCCTATCTTCAATTATCCCATGATTTCAACTGTTGAAATGACTACAATCTCCACAAAACTCCTGATATGAATAACATATATATTTCTTTTTCTTTTTTCGACAGTTCTTTACATTGAAATAGACTCATTTCCATTGAATTACCTAAATATTTCACCTAATGGATCATTTGTAACGAAACTTTATAAAAAAAATAGTATTAAATAGATGAGACAAGCACCGGAAGTTAACAATTATTCTCTTAGTCAGTTACATTTCATCATTAGGAATGTTTTTAGTTTACTTTTAATTAATAAATAATTGTAATGCTATGATAATATACATAGCATAGATACATCAGTCGATAAATAATCTAATTAATATTTATGGAGAGATTATAATTTATGAATCATGAAAATGTAAATATGTGGGGGGGGCGTGGGATATAGTGGACAGATAGTATGCAACTGGACGATCAAAACTTCGCAGATGATCTAACTCTTCTATCGCACATGCAACTACAAATGCAAGAGAAGAAGACCAGTGTAGTAGCAGCCTCAGCAGTAGTAGATCTCGACATACACAAAGTGAAAAGCGAGATTCTTCAAAACAACACAACATGCACCAATTCAATCACAATTGACGAAGGGGCTACGGAGAATGAAAAACCTTTACATAACTGAGCAGTATTATTGATGAACATGTTGAATCTGATGCAAATGTGAATGTGCAGATCGGTGAAGCAGCAGCATATCTACAATTAAAGAACATCTGGAATTTAAAACAACTGTCTGTCAACCAACAGCAAAGTCAGAATTTCCAGTACAAATTTGAAGACAGTTCTATTCTATGGGGCAGAAACTTGCAGAACTACGAAAGCCATCACCCAGGAAATACAAGAGTATATTAACAGTTGTCTACACAAAATACTTGAGATCTGTTGGCCAGACACTATCAGCAACGAGCACTACAGTAAGAGAAAACAAACGAGATTCGATTGGAGGAAGAAATCAGGAAGAAGCGCTGGATGTGGATAGGACACACATTGAAGAAAGCACCCAAATGTATCGCAAGACAAGCCCTCATATGTAATCTAAAGGAGGATAGGAAGACCAAATAACACATTATGCAGGGAAATGGAGATAGACATGAGAAGAATAAACAACAGTTAGATAGAACTAGAAAGGAAAGCCCAAGACAGAGTGGGTTGAAGAATTGCTGATCGGCGGCCTATTCTCCATTGGTAGTAACAGGCGCAAGTAAATAAGTATCAAATCTAAAATTTCATCATTATTATAATGTAAAAACATAAGAAATGTCATACACAACGATATCTTTCATTCAAAATTTCGAAATTCAAGGAAACTGCATACTTATGAATCTACATAACACGTATATAGTATACTCTTTCGATTACTAATAATTCACAAACTCATTAGAAAGTATTTTTATTTAACTAAGCAATAAAATCAATCCTTTTGAACTTAAAATGTGATCTGAAATTCATAACGAAACTATGAAAGAACCAAATATCTTACATTTTTTATAACTAACAAATGAAAAAGATGTTATATCTATAGCTTAAACTTTTGATACACTGCGTACAACTTGATTGCTAGAACCGTTCAATTCACAAATGAGAAGACAGAAGATAATTGAAAAGGAATGCTATTCCAAACAGTATCAATTATGATACAAAACGGTGAGGTATTTATAGTTTTTAGTTAAAACAAAATCATCATTATAGCCATTCAATCTGTAGGGGGTTACAAGCATTTGTTCAATAGAGAAGCTACACGTAGGGATTTGGGAATATTCTTTCAAAAGATGAATAAATATAATATCTTCAGATTTTTCTGAGTCTCCTAGAGCTTCCTCGAGTTTACACATGAGACGTAAGTAATCATAATTCAATAAATGAAAGAAAATAAAAATGAGAAAAAAAACAATATTTCCGAAAAGTAAAGCAAAACAAATTACAAAATATAAAACCGATTAGTCATTATAGACTGCCTTCTCGTAAGAGAGGTGCTATTTATGAAATTGAAAGGACAAAAGCTAATGTCCGAATCGTTAACCGGTTTGGTGGACTATCAGAGTCTAACTAGGGGAGTTGGAAAACCCTTATTCCAAACCAATGGTGCACATGGGCCCGAGGATCCTAAGGAAACAAATGGCATATGAACCAATTGTTGGTCACCAGCTACCATAGGACTGCGTTTACTGACGTTGCTCCTCTACCTTGTAAATTAAACCTTTAGGGTGGAAAGCTCAGGATGTGGCCCCCTAAGAAATCACCTGCTTTGGTCTAGGCATCCAAGTAGTATCAGAACTCACACACAAATCAAGTGATTTATGAAGCACACATATATTCATTGCCTTTTTGAACCAATATCCATGTGTTCAAGAGGTATTTCCTGGAGTTCTAGTGAGAGACAGTGATTAGTGGAGTTCAACCGAGTCTGTTGTGAGATAGTAACTCACTGAAGACATTGGTGGATGTGACGCTCAATTTAGTGGATTAGTTGAAGTTAGACATTAAC